TTATCATTTCTATGAGAAAAAAAAAAACACCCCTCTCATGTAAAGATTCAGAAAGGGAGCTTCAGGGGCTGGCGATGTAGCTCAGTGGTCCAGGACCTGGGTTCAGCCCCCAGCGCTGTACACAAGAGTTATCACCAGACTGCAGAGAGCTGCCCACCACCATCAAGATGGGAAACTCCTGCTCCTTGCTGAAGTGAGGCTGTTTGTCCTCCCCTCTGATCTGAACTCCACGAACAGATCCAGTGGATCACAGCCAGGACAACATGCAGACAGAGAGGCGACAGGAGCCCAGAGCTCTCTGAGCACAGCTGGGGCACATCGTCCAGCAGCCCACTCAGGCCAGACACCCTGCAGAGGTGGAGACCAAGGCTTCCTGGCCCCGCTGGGTGGAGAAAGGAATATTTTTTAGCAGAGACATGTATCGTAGAGCGCACATGATCTGAGGGCCAGTTATGGAAGAGCAGCTGACGRTGTTAAAAATGAAAGACCCAAAGAGAGAGGGTAGGCAGCGAGGACACTTTGAATGTCTTGTATACAATGCTGTTTCAATTTAAAACAGAAAATGACTGGAGCCCTTCACAGGACAGCTGAGTTCCGCCCCCACAGTGTGCAGGGTTCAGGTCAGGGTTCCCCCAGGCCAGCCCTACATCAGGAAGCACCTTTTGGGTGCCCCTTTGCCCAGCTCCTCAGGAGCGTCCATTAGCCTTTTCTCTCCTCTTTCTGCCCCCCTCGTCCGTGCCCTAACTCCTGGAATCCAAGACTGTGTAGGTGGCACTGGCCTGGAATTTAATTTGAATTATGAAAAAATTTAAGTCATTCCATGCTCAAGATTTTCTTCCCTCTCCACACCCACCCAGGAAACATTAACTAAAAACCATACTAAGGCCCAACATCCCAAGCAACTGTTCAAGCACAAATGCCACTTAAAAGGTACAACTACACAAACAGACATCAGCCTTAATCCTTTTCTTGAACTTCCCCACACACACACACACAGAAAACAGAGCCCCGAGAGAACTGAAAGAATGGGATGTAATGACCAAGTGCTTTGGTGGGAGTGGGAGAGCTTGAGGGCAGGGGCAAGGGCAAGTCCCTCCCGGGTCGGAGGTAGCTGGTGGCTCCATGAAGACAGTGGGTTCCAATAGGCCAAAGAAGCAGAGGAGGGACATGGCACTGAGATGAACAGAAAGGAAGGATGCAGAAGGAAAGATGTTATGTTTCTCTCTTTGAATAAAATGTATGCCAGGATTGAATGGATTCTTTACACTCTTTCATTTTAGCTAATTGTACTTACAATAGATGACCCATTCAGAGCATTCAGATTTGGTAATATGTGCCACAATGGGCTGTAATATAAATGAACCAGCTCCCTTTTTATCCATTGGCACTGCTGTGTCCTAAGGGCCAAGGGTATATTCTTCAAGTTGGAGGAACTGTTAGAGTAGCTTGAACTTTTGGGAAAAAGGGATAAACAATATCATTAATGGAGCCCTTCCCTCCTGTTAGTTAGCTTTCTGTAACTGTGACAGAAAACCTGAGAAAATCAACTTACAAGATTTATTTTGGCTCATGGTTTCAGAGGTTCCAGTGTGTGGTCAGCTAGCTCCATTGTTTCTGGGCCTGTGGTGAGGCAGAGCATCATGGCAGGAGTACATGGTAGAGCAGAGCTGCTCACCTCATGGCCGCCAGGAAGRAGAGAGGGAGGGAGGAAGGGAGGGAGAGACACTGGGAGCAGTATATACCCTTCAGGGGCACACCCACAGTGACCCACCTCTTCCAAGTAGGCCCCAGATCCCAAAGATTCCACCACTCCCAATAGTGCCAGACTGAAGGCCAAGCCTCTAGCATAAGGCTTTTGGAGGCTATGTGAAATCCAAACCTTAACTTGTTTCTCTTTTGTCCACACCTGAGGTCCTTCCACTTGCTCTATGTTTTCCCTTTTCAATAGTGCTTCTCACCTTCCTGGTGCCCCACAAATTGTTAACTTATTATATTTACTGTTAGTTGTCTCTATCTCCACCTCCCTGCTCCAACAAAAGCTCCATGATGACATAGTCTTTCCTTTGTTCTCCAGTACATCCCCAGCTCTTGAATAGTGTTCAGTATGTTGCAGGCACCCAGTCACATTGCATAAACAATCGTGCAAAAGCAAACTGCAAAGAAATTGATATAAAATGGTCCTACATTTGTTTTTCAAAATATCTGCATAATAATAGAGATAATATAGAAAAATCTCTGGACAGACATACCAAATTTTAGACATGATTATTACCACAGAGATGAGGTTGTGAGTGATTTTTCTATGATACATATTATTGCTTCATATTTCCCATTTTTTTACAATATTACTTTGAAGTAAAAAAAAATATGATCACAAAATAAAAAATTAAGTCAAGGAATTTGGCTAAACCTCAAAGCAAGAGCTTTGTTTCTTGGGGGACATAGGTTTCAGTGGAAAAAATTGTACTATAATATAATCTTTTATTTTTAGTTTGATGATGTTCTTTTGCTATCTTAAATTGTCTGCCTGCCTGCCTGCCTCTGCCTGCCTTTCTTTCATTTAGTGGTGCTGGGAGTCGAACCCAGGGGCTCACAAATGCTAGACGGGTGCTTTGCCACTGAACTTAGAATTCACCTCATTTGTGAGCTGATGGGTTTTCATTAAGGGGTCAGCTAATATTTTTTTCATCGTAGCCTAATAATAATCATCTTAGCTAACATATAATCTGGAAACCTAACCTAAGTGGAAGATTAAACATAAAATAGGCCTGTACTTTATCATCCTAACTCCCTACCTACGGACTGATGCTAAGACCAAATAAGCAAACATGTGAGTGCTGGGTGCCGTGTAATCCCAGCATCTAGGGAAGTTTATGCAGGAGGATCTCAAGTTCAAGGCCAGCCTCAGCAACTTTGGGAGGTCTTAAACAAGTTAGCAAGACCCTGTCTCAAAATGAAAAATAATAATTGTGGGGATGTGGCTCAGTGGTTAAAAGCCCTTAGGTTCAGCGCACAGTACCTGCCACCACCCCAAAAAAGTCAAGCAAGTGGCCAGCAAACGATGCTATTTGTAGGGTGCATAATGGTGTGATTGCCTGAGAGCCAAGTGGAAGGGAAAGGGAAGTGTCATTGCTGAAAGGGCTTATTCTTAGATCAGCTCTTTGTGTGTCCTGCAGCAAAAGGCTTATGAGCTGCGGGGCATCACAGGCAGAACCTGAGTGCTGCTCGCCACAGGAGCGTGGAGTGCTGGTAGAGGAACCACCTCCTGTAGACCAGATCCACAGAGCAGTGCCTAGTTACAGCACACATAGTTCTGTGTCTGGTGTAATAAGGGYCGTCAGCCTCCTAAGACCTGACATCTGTAAGAGCATTCACTATAGAGCATTGTATTAGGGTTCTCCAGAGGAAAAGAATCAACACGAAGTGTAATTATAAAAAAGGGACTTATTAGGTTGGCTCATGCAACCAGAAGCCATCTGCATTCTGGAGAGCCAGAAGAACCAGTAGTCACACAGTCCGAGAGGCTGGAGCCCCAGAACAAGAGGGATCAACAGTGCTACGGTGGTCTGAGGCTGAAGGCTTCTGGGGAATCACTGGCAGAGTCCACTTTGAAAGAGTGAAGAAGCAAGAGCCGATATCCTCAGAGGATCACAGCAACAGTCAAGAACCCCTTCAAGAAGAATCAAGCTTGCATCTTGCATCTGCTTCCTTGTTCTTCCAACTTTTATTCCATCCAAGCCATCATCCTGTTGATTGGTGCTGCCCATGCTTAGGGAGAGTCTCCGCTTTAGTTGGCTATCCCACATGCCAGTCATTCCAAGACACACCCTCATTGACATACCCAAATTACTTTTTTTTTTTTTAGTTGTAGATGGGCACATATCTTTATGTGTTTATTTTTATGTGGTGTGGAGGAGGATCAAATCCAGGGCTTCACACATGTGAGGCAGGTGCTCTACCATTGAGCTACAGCCCCAGCCCCTCCCATAATACTCTTAATCTTTGGCATCCCCTAATCCAATCAAGTTGACAATTCAAATCGACAGTTATAAGCATCTTATTTTACTTTTGCTCATCTATTTGTTTTTACATTTCCAATCTTTAAAAAAAAAAATTTACAGTCATTTCCCCAAACCACTGAAAAGAATATTTACATTAAGGAAAAAGTCCAGGGCTGGGCTTGTAGCTCAGTGGCAGAGCACTTACCTAGCACATGTGAGGCACTGGGTTCAATCCTATATATAAAAAAACAAATAAGTAAAAAAATAAAATTCTTAAAAGAGAAAAGAATATCAAAGAGTCCATTTCCTTCTGTTAAAAAAAAAAGTTTTATAGTTATGTTTTTGTTTTAAATACATTCCCTAGGCACATACTATCCATTTAAAATAAATCAGTAAAGATGGAGAAATGCCTCAAAATTAAATATTTGAAAGGAGATGTCTTATTTGATTTCTGGAATAAAACATGTTTTGTGTTCCTGTCACTGGAGTGTAGAACTTGCTGAACAGTAGTTCAAGTCCAAGGCTGCCCCTTTCCCGCGCTGGGCAGGGTGCTGGAGGAGGAAGGCCTTAGTGGTACTTCGGGTAACTATGTCAGTGTATGCACAGCGAGGTAGGAGAGAAGAACTCTTCCTTCCTGGGGGATCCGGAGGGTTTATGGTTTGGAAAGATGGTCTCATTTCAGTTGCCCCTCATTTTCAGGCAGACACTTATGAAATGAAATGATTACACTCCCCTGAAAGCTCGCTTTACATAATTCAGGATTGTCCTGGACCTCTCTCATCACAGAGGAAGAAAAGCCCTATGAATTATTTACAGAGCACTAAATTATTTCCTTTTATGAGCTCCAACTTTGTTTTTGTCTCTGTAAACCGAGATTTTGTTTATCCATGAATAGTTTTCCCTGGGGCATGAAAAATATGACTCGTAAATTATGAATGAGGTTTTTTGTTTGAGTTCGTGTTAACTAAAACATGCAAAATAAACTATGTTTTCCATTAGATCCCTTTCAGCTCCCCACAAAAACTGAACCAACAAAAGAAAGAGCAATTCAACCAGCAGCCGCCAGGAAGCCCACTGTAATTCGAATTCCAGCCAAACCAGGAAAATGTAAGCACTTCTCCGCCTTYATATTTATTTGCATTTCCAAGAGCCTGGGAGAATATATATGCTAATTTATCCATGTCTGCTTTTGAAATTATTGGTAACTTGCTATTTATTATTCATAGTCATGGACATTCAAAAGCAAGGTATTTTCTCTCAATTCTTTGCAGAATTAGCACAGTAAATTTGAATTTCATTTTTACGTAAGGTTGTGTTTACACAGAGAGAATGCATGGAGAATTTAAGTCTCAGAACAATTGTAGTATCCCATGTTGGTGCCTCTGATAAAGGTTGAGGGGAAAGTAATTGAAACTAATAGCAAATGAAGTTGTATGATTTCATCAGGGGTGTATTTTTCCAATCAGCATCATCTAAAYATGGCTATGTGTGAATTGTGTGAAAATCTGTATACAAAAGCTTTAAAAGCATATAACAATGGATGAAAATTCCTTCTTTCTTCTTATGATGGCTCCATTGCAAGGAATAGTACTTTTAAATTACTCCATGCATTTTTAGATGATTTTTCATTTGATTTTTAAGTAGTGCAATAGATGAAATTCTGTATGAGCTTTAACAAGTACTTTTAAAAGAAATATGAGGAGGGGAGGGGAGGGGGCATGGGGGCAGAAAAGATGGTGGGATGAGATGAACATCATTACCTTAGGTACATGGATGACTGCACATGTGTTACGACTACATTGTGTATAACCAGATGAATGAAAAGTTGTGCTGCATTTGTGTACAATGAATTTAAATGCATTCTTCTGTCATGTATAACTAATTAGAACAAAATTTTAAAAATTTTTAAAAAGAGGGCTGGGGATGTGGCTCAAGCAGTAGCGCGCTCGCCTGGCATGCGTGAGGCACTGGGTTCGATCCTCAGCACTACATAAAAATAAAATAAAGATGTTGTGTCTACCGACAACTAAAAATAAATATTTTTTAAAAAATTTTTTAAAAGAAAAAGTGGCRCACGCCTGTAATCCCGGCAGCTCAGGAGGCTGAGGCAGGCAGATCTTAGTCCAAAGCCAGGCTCAGCAACTTAGTGAGACCCTGTCTCTAAGTAAAATATGAAAARGGGCTATGGATGTGGCTCAGTGGTTAAGCATCCCTGGGTTCAATACTCAGTTAAAAAAAAAAAAAAAACTGATATTTAGGGCTGGGGATGTAGCTCAGTAGTAGTGTGCTTGCCTACTAGGCACAAGCCCCTGGGTTTGATCCCCAGCACTGCAAAAATAAAAAAAAAATAAAAATAAAGAGAGAACAAAATTTGACATTTATTGTAATGGAAAAGCCAAAAGGCCAAAACTGTTCATTTTAGRCCCCAGAGATTATTTTTTAAGTATGGGTAGAATTGTGTGTGTATGCGCACGTGCGCGCGCCCAGGTCTTCAACCTGTTCCAGTCCAGTACTGTCTTGCTGGCATGCCCTTTAGTTTAGGAGTTGGTTTCTCCTATGAAGCACTACCCCGAAGAACTATTGGTTTTGTCTCTTGATGGCTTTGCCATTAACTGATGGCTCTCAGCCCAGTAGCTAGAAGATTGAACTGAGTTGCTGTGAACAATGAGGAGGAGAAAAAGTCAAGGATCTCAAATTCTGGTGGTTTCTCACTTCTTATATTGTAGTGTGAGTTAAAGAACAGGTGGTATATTTCTTTTGACAATGTCATAGAGCTCAGAAATCAGTAAATGATAGCTCATCAGGTTGTTTGCCTGTTTGTTGTTACCTTATTAAATGCACTCTGGATTTTAACAGGCACAGTGAAATATAATGATAGTAAATATTGCCAGAAGCCCACRTGGGTCTTAAGCAATACAACTTTTATCCTTAAATTTATTCTCCTGTTGTGTTGTGTCCTTTAAGATGCCAGGTTTGACAATTTGATAGGAAGACTCACAGGACATAGCATAGTCATGTTCATRGCTATGATTTATTACAGCAAAAGTGTATGAGGCAGAATCAGGGCCCGGGGATGTAGCTCAGTGGTGAGCGCTTGCCCAGATTGTGCAAAGCCCTGGGTTCTGTCCCTGATACAGGGGAGGAGAAAGGGAAAGTATGAGGCAAAATCAGCAAAGGGAAAGGTAAATGGTGTGAGATCTGGAGGAACCCTGGCACAAACATCCGAGTCTTGTTAGTGACGTCACACAGGATAAGTTAACCCTCCCAACAAGGAGTTGTGACAACATGTGTGAAGTGTTGTGAACCAGAGATGTTCATCAGAGGGTCATGAGTGGAGACTGGTTCCATAGGCACCCCTAGAAATCTTGACATGTACTGAAATTTCAATTCCCAGAAGGAAAGCAGGTATTCCACATGAAACATATTCTTGTATTTTCTCAGTTCTGGGAATCGTGGGAACTGTCCCAAAGTCCAAGTTCCCAGACACCAACTAAGGGCTGTAGTGACCTTTTCTGCACACCTCTAAACTGGCTATACCAGAGCAGAAACTTTAGTCTCCCCATGGAACTCCAGGAACTGTGAGAAAGTTGAACGCCGTGTGCTAAATGTGAGGAACTGACATGCCAAGATGGTGGGTATTTTTTTGTAGGAGGTACCAAGGATTGAACTCAGCCAGAGGCACTTGACCACTGAGCCACATTCTCCAGTCCTATTTTGTGTTTTATCCAAACACAGGGTCTCACTGAGTTGCTGAGCACTTCGCTTTTGCTGAGGCTAGCTTTGAACTCACTCATGATCCTCCTGCCTCAGCCTCCCAAGCTACCGGGATTATAGACACACGCCACTGCGCCCTGCTCCAAGATGGTTTCTAAGGAGTTGCTCCTGGCAGGTGTGGTGGTAATCCTAGCTGCCGAGGAGGCTAAGGCAAGTTTGAGGCCATCCTTGGCAACTTAGCAAGGCCCTGTCTTAAAATTTAAAAACAAAACAAAAAAAGACTGCAGATGTAGCTCGGTGATAGATCACCCTGGGTTCAATCTTTCGTACTGAAAAATGAACAAATGAATGATACATACATCTAACAGAAACCAGGCAATGTGTATMTGCTGCAGAGGAAAAAAGAACAAGACTTTGGGTATCTGAAGAACTTGGAATAGACTGGGGAAGAAAGGACACTGTGGTTGAGAAGTCCTTGATATTCTCTGAACCCATTAGCTCTTCTCCCTTGGGACCTGTTATTCTAACCAGGACATTCTTTTCCCAGATATCTGCATGGCTCCCTCCCTCCCCATTCTTTCAGGTCTCCGCTCAGCGGCCACTCTTTTCTTAGTGGTACCTTTGCCTGCGGCATGCAATGTAAAAGCAGAATTCTCCTTTCACAGCCCAGGTACACCCTGGGGTGGCCCTTCCTGCCCAGAAACTCCCTCTTTACCACTTCCCTATTTCTACTTTGTACTTTTAAATATTTCTAACAACAGTGTCATATGCTAAATGTGATTCATTGTCCTTTTGAATAGGGAAAGTACAGCAAGGGGAATGTCTTTAAAATGGTGACTGCCTTCAGGGCTGGGGACCGCCTAGTGGCAGAATGCTGCCTAGCCTGTGCAGTGTCCTCCAGCCTGGGGGGGAAATAGCTGGTGACCAAGTTGGATGTGCTGCGTGGGTCTTAATTCCCAGGGCGGCTCTGCCTCTCACCGAGAACACTTGCCTGTCTCTAAATCATTGTTTTCCTAGCAGCTGGCCTGGGTATTTTCTTCCCTTGGAGAATGTTTTCCTGTCTGTGGATGAAACAGGAACCTGACAAATCATCCTCTTGTTATAGGTTTTTCGTGTGAAATGGCAGTAGAAAGTGTTCATTTGAAAAAAAAAAAAAAAGAAGAAAATTCCCATCTCCTTTCAGGGTCCAAACCCAATACTGTAAAAGGTGGCCTTGGCCTCCTTCAGTGTGTTATGGTCATCCCCTCCTCAGGCAGTTTTGCCCRAAGATTTTAATTAGCTGTCACTCATTATATCTGGTTTTCTTTGCTTTCTTTTAAAATAAGTTGGGAGCACACTGTTACTGAGATAAGATGTGGTTTGGAATGTAAAGGTATTGTTTTTAATTGAGGCTAACTATACTCATTAATCTAGAGCTAAAAAGTTAGAAAACATTTATTTACTTTTGGATAGGAGTGGGTTAGGTACATCTCCTTTAAAGAGCATGTCTTATTAGAACGAGTCAGGCTTTAGGGTTCAAGAGCCAAAACCAAAACAAAACGCTAACATTAAGACCTCGGATAGCTCATGTATTTTCTTTCTTCATCAGTAAATTAGGTAGTCTATTCATCTAGCACCACACTGTCTAGTAGATCTTTCTGCAGAGATGGAAGTGCTTTGTATCTGTACGGTAGCCCTTCGCCACCGGTGACTGTTGAGTCCTTGAACAGTGTGGGCCAGGGCCAGGGTTGCTGCCTGTGGAGGCTGAGGCAGGAGGATTGCAAGTTTGAAGCCAACCTGGGAAACTTAGCAAGACCCTATCTGAAAATAGAAATCGGGCTGGAGATGTGGCTCAGTGATAGAGTGCTTGCCTCGCATGTACATACCCTAAGTTTCATGCCCAGAACCATAAAAAAGGGAAGGGAGGGAGGAAGGGAGGAAAGCCACCATCTTTTYTGACTAGTGCAACTGAGGAATGAAATTTTCATTTTATTTCATTTACATTAAATGCCTACGTGGGGCAACTAGCGAGTAGACTAGATAAATCCAGCACATAGAAGTTGGCTGAAGAAATATATTCAAATAAAGTTGTCTTGAGTTAATGCCGGGAACATAGACGTTTCTCCACAAATGCTAGCTGCTGTTGTAATTATTTAGTATTATTTTCACTCTCTCTAAATATATATAATAAAAGTAACTGGTGTTGACCAACACATCGATTTCTGTCCGTCCTGTGTGTGGCTCTTTTGTGTTAGCCATTTTTCTAAGGAATCAAGCTGCAATCATTTCATTCTTTGGATGCCAGACTAGGCATTACTGATGAATTACTGTTTTTTCCAGGTTTACATGAGGATCCGCAAAGCCCACCTCCACTCCCAGCTGAAAAACCTATTGGAAACACCTACAGCACAGTACCTGGAAAACCCAGTAATGCTGACAGATCTAAAAACTTGGTGAGTGGCTGTCGATTGTGTTGTGTAGAGTATGTTATGTTGAAGACAGAGCTGTGCACCAATGTTAAATATTCAGCTAATGTCTAGATGATTTTACTACTGGTCATATTGAAAAAATACTTTTATGAGAAACCGGTTGCCAAATCCTGTGCGATGTTTAATATTTTAGAAGTCCCTACAGAGGGATTAGGCTAATTCATTATACTTCACTATAAAATAACCTATATTGTACCAATGTAATGACATTGCCTTTTAAATGATGCTAATAATGAGGAAGTTATTTAAAATCTGGGAAAACCTTTAATATTTGTGGAAGTGGATTTAGCCAGATTGTCAGCTTTTATTTAAAATACCCAACTGGTGGCATAATTTTAAGRTAATCACCTGAAGACTTTTTAAATGTGAAATTAAAGAGAGAAATGTTTTTTAAATTAGTGCTTTACTGTACATATGTTAAGATGATGTATATATATWTTTATTATAACCTCAATATGATTCCTCATATATTTTTAAAAATTTTCATGTGATAGATGATCTTTAAGACTTTTTCAAAAGAAATCAATTCTTAAACTCTTTGAACTACATTTGCAGTTCAAATTTTATAATAGGTTTACACTATGCTTATCATGCAGGCAAACCCATCTAATCATCTAGAAAGAGACATTTCTTTGAAGGAGAGATTAAATTAGTCAATACCAAGTTAAAGGAGATTTTCTGTAGAATGAATTAAAATTCAGTGGTCATTTGTACTTTCAGAATGTTGGTAATCATTTTTTATTAAAACTGGACCAAGGGCTTGGGATGTGGCTCAAGTGGTAGTGCGCTCACCTGGCATACGTGAGGGACTGGGTTCGATCCTCAGCAYCACATAATAATAAAATAAAGAGATTGAAAAAACCGGGCCAAGCCAGGAGTGGTGGTATACGCCTATAATCCCAGTGGTTTAGGAGGCTGAGATAGGTGGATGGCAAGTTCAATGGCAGCCTCAGCAATTTAGCAAGGCCCTAAGCAATTTGTCAAGACCCTGTGTCAAAATTAAAAAATAAAAAGGGCTAGGCATCGAATTGGTGTGAATATTACTGTGTATACAACCAGAGATATGAAAAATTGTGCTTTATAAGTATAATAAGAATTTTAATGCATTCTGCTGTCATATATAAATAAAAATATACAAAAATACATAATGCAAATATACAATGTATAAAATATATTTTAAAAATCACAGAAAAATAAGAATAAATAAATCTTTTTTTTAAAAAAGGCTAGGGATATGTCTCAGTGGTTAAGTACCCTTGGGTTAAATCCCTGGTACAAACAAAAACAAAAAAAAATTGGGCCAAGGAAACCCCAGAAAGGATAGTAGGCCCTACCATACTGTTGTTGAATGAGAAAGTCTCCCACTTCCATGGAGGGACAGCTGCTTGAGAGGGTTATGGGTTTCTACTCTCAAAGTGTTAAGAAGGGAGCAAGAGGGTGATGAGTAGTGTATATATCATTCAGGAAGTGATGTCATGGGTTTTGTGAGTGACAAAGCTCTATTGAAATAATTATTATATTGGGTGTTAAGCAGTCACCAAGCAACTCCCATGTTTTAGAAAAACAAGAAAAGGAAGTTGGAATAAACGAAACCGTCTGGGGAGACACTAGAGGCATAGTTGTGTTTGTTCYTCACAATCATAACATGAGGAAAGTCCTGTCTGCCACTGTTTATAGGGTCGGAGCAGGTCTGTATTTTCCTAAATACATACATAATAAATAAACTGAGTATGAAAGAAAAACAGAACAGACACAAGTTCARTTGTTACCCCCATCCAGCGCGGGCTGTGGAACCAGGGTCACTTGGATGAATCTGGGCGAACAGATTACCCAGACACAGAAAGTACCTTTTTCTTGGGTGGTTTCAGGACAGTTTCTCCGCCTCAGATGTAAGGTCCCCCAAGGGGACAAGAGAAGAACACAAAAAAAAAGGTAAAGGGTAGTATTACAACAAACAGGGGGTGTAACTCAGCCCCATTGGGGACACCCAATCCCTGAGCTGCACCTGCTGCAATCAGAGGTGAGTCCACATGAATGCCAGCTCAGTACCTCCTTACTCCACACTTAAAGACGTGTGCTTAGCTCCTGTTCAGGGCGGCCTCCGACATTCAGTGATTTGCCTGAAGTCACGTGTACAGACTTCTAGAGACAGAGAGTCACAAAGATGCTTAAGAAATTCCTTTTGTTTGAGAATCATGAATACTGAATGAATTTTAGACCAGAGGCCCTAAAAATTAAAATGTGGATATGAGGGTCTCTAGGAAGAATATTTCATCAGTGTAGCAACTCAGGAGAAGAGGCATGGTCTTTGCCAACTGCGTCTTTTAATGGCATACAACAAAAACCCTCTGCCATTTCTCCTGCCGTGAATACTGGGGAACTTTCCATCTCGGGTAAGATGGCCGCGGTTGCCAGTCCTCGCCTTCTTCACTTAAATGGTGAAGGACTCCAGGGTGGGGAGCGGCAGGGCCACTGGAGCCCTTCTGCCAGTAAAAGCAGATGCCTCCGTGTGCCCTGCTGCCCCCAGGGAAGCTACCCACAGGTACAGGAGGAGAGTCAGCCAAGAGAGCAGAGTATGTATGTGTCAGTCATGTAGCTCAGAAGGGTCTGTGGGAGGAAACAGGCTGGTTTTGAATTCAGAACATAAGCAGCCTAAGTTCTTAGAAGAAATACATCTATAGAGGCTGCTTAGTAATTCCCACACACAAGAGCACACAGGAGTGTGGTCTCAGGAGAAATCTTTGTCTTTTTAAAATACCACAAAAATACTGGGGAATTATTTTGAAGTTAAAGTGTGATTCTAATGCCGATGAACAAAAAGATTTCTACAGACACAATACAAGCAGAAAAAAACAAATATGCCAGGAACTAAAATGCTTATCCAGACACATCAACTGCCAAAGTCCAGGGATCTCAGACTAGAGAAAAATTTCCACAGAGCAGGTACAGAGAGGCTTTGAAGTATGCGTGGAATGCTGAAGAGAAGGAAGTCCCTAATCGATAATCTTCCAAAGACTGTCAGCAGAACGTGGGCACAAGCCCATGCTTGAGCAAACACAAAGACAGTGGCTCTGGGGGGAACTGTCCCTGTGTTCTTGGCATTTGGAGTGTATCAGACGTAGCAGTGCCTTTCAAGATGTGCCTGATGTCCCTGAGGAGTTTGGATGTACTGTCTTTTTTTATTCTGATTTAAAATTTTTTCACTGTAGAAAATGAGAAATTAAAAAATATTTAAGATTTCCTACAAAATTATCACCGTGGGTCTGGAATTCAGTGGTAGAACATTTGCTTGCTCAAGGACCTGGGTTCAATCCCTAGAATCACAAAAGAGCAAAAGAAAACAAAACAGAACCACCACCCAGGGGAAACTGCAGGTAATATTTGACACCAATTTAGGACCATATGCTGTGTATTTATTACAATACATCATCCTTACCTTTGCCTGTCAAGTTCATACATTGATATTCTTTTGAGATTTCTCCTTAATTGTTAAGGTATACAACTATAATGTTAAAAAAAAAAGTAATAAAAGTTTCTCCCTATCTGTTTGAGTTTTTTTGCTTTAATTTATATATATATATACATACATATATGTATGTATATATATATAGTTAAATATAAATATATATTTAGTTAGATTTATTTATTTTATTTTTATGTGGTGCTGAGGATCGAACCCAGTGCCTCATGCATGCTAGGCAAGCWCTCTACCACTGAGCCACAACCCCAGTCCCTAATCATGTGATTTTTAAGGGAAAGTTATACTCCATRTGAATTTAAAATCATGAAAGTGAGTTTTAACTCATTTATAGGATATGAAGGAAGAAAACAGTCTGAATTAGCCCAGAGATTCCCAAGCTATAATTAAACCCCTTTACAAAAAAAAAAAAAAGAAAGTATAATTTTAAAGGACTAACAGTTTTTCCCTATGATGTCTTAGAATATTTCTTGTGTATTGTGTTGGGGTCTTAGAAAGTGGGAGAGGAAAAGTAGGTTTTRGCTGGAAATTTTCCAGTTCTAATTTTAAAAAGGAGACAATTAATTAGAAGAATTTAGTGAGAGGGTTTTTTTGGTTTTGTTTTGTTTTGTTTTTTGAGTTTGGCTTTGAGATCTTTTAGCTTGTCACTCAACAGGAGATCTGAAGATATTTCTGTGAGTTGTGCTCATTCCCCAATGCTTGGGCTATGCCCTGTTYAGAAGACCTGTTTAAGCAGCAGCTTGAGTCCCTTCCCCTGGGAAAGGCTTCCTGTTAATCTCTCTGCGCTTCCAGTTTCTCTCATCTACGGTTAGGTTACATCCATCTTTAATTTTTCACATTGTTCCCCTTTACTCTTCCCTATAAAACTCTTAGCCCATCCATCTACGGTGGCCTGGTGGTGCAAGTGCCCTTTGGGCCATCTCTCGGGCTGCTTTTAATTCTCGCCTCTTCAGTTTTGCAAAATGTTGAAAACATCCAGTGATGAGATAGGATCTGCCTATAAAACAACTAATAACCACTTCAATTAGTAGGTGTTTAGACTCAGGAGCAGTGTTTCCTCTGTGTAATTGGGATTAACAGAGTCATGTGTTTGTTTACTTCCTATGGTGCCTGCTTACTTTGTTACTGTGTGACCCACCATGATGTAAATGTCATCCCCTAATATCTCATGAATCACCCKGTGCGTGGCCCTGTAGTGCTGTTGTCTGGTTCTGGTCCACCACAGGAGATGCCTTGGTTTCCTCTGCTGGGTGTTCTCACTTGTATTAGGACATGAATAGTGTGGAGTAAAGAGTGAGTTAATATTATTTAAGATCAAAAATTCTTTTCTGCTATTTTCAATAACTGAGCTACATTTACACTTTCAGACCCAGCTAAATTCTCTAAAGTTCCTCTTGACAAGTTCTTGTTTTAGGTTAATGTTGGCTAAAAATTCTCCTCTGATCCTTGTAGGAATCCAACCAAGCTGGTGAGACCGGAGGTTTTGTGCGAGGACCCCCAAGGTTGCCACCAAGGTAAGGAAGTGTGGGAAAAGTTAGAGAAAAATGAATGAGCCGGGCACTGTGGTGTGCACCTGTAATCCCAGCAGCTCAGGAGGCTGAGGCAGGAGGATTGCAAGTTCAAAGTCAGCCTCAGCAACTTAGTGAGATCCTGTCTCAAGATAAAACATTTTTTAAAAAGGGGGACTGGAGATGTGGTTGGTACCAAAAAATAAAGTAAAATAAAATGAATGACTCAGAGACCTGACGATCTTTTTGCATCATCCAGACCAAGTATTGTTGGTCTCAGATCTTTGTTTAGAGATAAAATAAACCCACAAATTCACCCCGGCTACCAGCCTACAGTCTGCTTCTGACAGCAGGTTAGAGGAATCTCCGCTCCTTTTTCTTTTAACATAGTCCAAAATTTTGCAGAGCACAAATGTGGATTTCTTTTACTTTTCCTCAAACAAATGAACAAGGCTCCTTCCCAAACCTACAACAACCCCACTTCTGGAACACACACATGCACGCACGCACGCACGCACACACACACACACACACACACACCCACACCCTCCCAGTTAAGAGAGACAGGCCTGGTTCAGGGCATCTGTAAAGGGACACAGGCTTTGTAAATTCAGAGGTGACCTGCTTTCTGAGCTCCAGAGCTGTCTGAACAAAAGGCTATAATGCTACCAGAAGACACTGCCATGTTGAAATTTATTTCTATCATAGTTTTTAAGAAAAAGCTTTCAACATAAGAGTTGTCCTCTCCCATTTTCAAAATGAGTTTTCTTTATGTTAATCTAAGTTAGTCTTAATAGTAACTCCTACCATATGAACATCAGGGGTTTTGATGTTCCTCTTCTAATCACATGCAAGCCCCCAGCACATATACCTGATATCTTATTATAAGCTTTTCATCTCAGACTTCGGTGGAAAAGTGCTTAGCTTCCTGAAATAGTCAGGGTGTGTTTAAGAGCAGTCAGGGCCTCAGAGAGCTCGTGATAGTAAATGCTTGTTTGTCTTGAACTAATGAATCTCTGGTGCAAGATAACAGGAAGCTGGAACATCATGGCATTTCCTCTAATAATATAATGTTTAATGCAGCAGTCATTTGCTCAAAAATAGCATACCCTGCAGGTTTCAGTAAATTGCACTCCACTTGCAGAAAGCTGTGTGTGTGTGTGTGTGTGTGTGTGTGTGTGTGTACACCTGTAGGAAAGGACAGAGTGGAACCTAATACTGATCACGACTTCCCATTGACTTTCAGACCCGTTAATGGAAAACCTACTCCAGCTAGACGGCCTCCTCCCAAAGGAGCCCCCGAGAGGCCACCTCCCCCAAAACTTCCTGCAACCCGAACATCAAATAAAAAACTGCCTTTTAGTCGGTCCTCTTCTGACATGGATCTTCAGAAAAAACAAAGTCCCTTGGCATCTGGGCTCTCAAAAGCCAAGAGTCATATCTTTAAAAGTCAAGATCCGGTGCTACCCCCTCGTCCCAAACCAGGACATCCTCTGTACAGAAAATACATGGTAAGTTGGGCTTTTAAAAATGTTTGTGGTCAAGAGGTTTGTTCTACAATATATTTTAAAATCCATTATTCCCTAGAAAAAGATGGTGAAACAAATAGGACATTGTCCCTTGACCCTAGAGTGCTTTAGATAAGTTGACCAGAATACCACCTAGGCTTTGAAAGCAGGGTTTCATTAGAAGGAGAAACACAGGGGAAGAGGAAGCGGGCCACACAGGGGTTGTAAGGTGTTAACCAAGTGAAACTAAAAACCTGACCCTGTAGGTTATGCTAATAGGAGTGACTGACAGAGAGTTATATCTTGATAGAGTTTACATCTTAAGCAACTTTGCCCACTGAGTAAATTTGGGGGGTGGGGGGTGGKGGGTACTGGAGATTGAACTCAGGGGAACTTGACCACTGAGCCACATCCCCAGCCCTGTCTTGTATTTTATTTAGAGACAAGGCCTCACTAAGTTGCCTTGCTTTTGCTGAGGCTGGCTTTTGAGATTCTCCTGCCTCGGCCTCCTGAGCCACTGGGATTACAGGTGTACACCACTATGTCCAGCCCCCTGAGTACATTTTAAAATGAAGTTGAAGTGAAGTTTTTATTAAGGTGGGTGGATTTCCCACTTTTTTTTTTTTTCATTTTTTAAAGCCTAATTATACTGGAACCTTTAATAGCTACTTGTTAGCAGTTTTTATCAATAGATAAGATACTAACGTTTTTCTCAAGTGACTTCTGCTTCCATTTCTCACAGATGGAAAATAGCGTTGATGTGGTCTCTCCTTTGGTCAGATTAACCTGATAAAATCTTTAAAATATTAAAATGGTRAGGAAATCAGGACTGTTTGTTCTTTTTAAACAATTAATGATAGAGTAGCTCTTAACAGGAACAGTAGTTAATTATTTTGTCTTGTTCCATGTTTCCATCATTGAGTCAGGAATTTTACTTTAAGTCATTCGGGGTTTTGTTAAATTTTTTTTTTTTTAAGAGAGAGAGAGAGAATCTTTTTTTTTTTTTTTTTTTTTAGATGGACACAACACAATGCCTTTATTTTTATGTGGTGCTGAGAATTGAACCCGGGTCACGCCCATGCTAGGCAAGTGCTCTACTGTTTAGCCACAATCYCAGCCCTAATTTGTTTTTTAATCCTCCTTTGAAAAAGGAATAGACAGATGAGGAGAYAGTCTATTCATATATATTCATATTCATTTAAATCAATGAAACTTTAATTGCCAAAACTCACAGGTGGTACGAGAGATGTAGGGAACCTGCCTAGCATGTGTGAGGCCCTGGGTTTGATCCCTGAGACCACCAAAAAGAAACCCAAAAACAAAACCCCATGGACTGGGATTGTGGCTCAGCAGTAGAGTGTGTGCCTAGTGTGTGCAAGGCCCTAGGTTCGATCCTCAGCACCACATAAAATAAATAAATGAAATAAAATATTGTGCCCAACTACAACTAAAAAATAAATATTAAAAAAAAAMMCAAAGGTATTTGGGGGGATAGGTTGTTGATAATAAAAACATTAGCTGAGCCAGGGCCACACATCTGTAATCCTCRCAACTCAGCTCAGGAGGCTGAGGCGGGAGGATTGCAAATACAAGGCCAGCCTCAGCAGCTTAGTGAAACCCTGTCTCAAACTATAAAACAAACCAAAAGAGCAAGGGATGTGGCTTAGTGGCAGATCACCCCTGGTGTTATATCCAAAGTGTCAACAACTACAACAACAACAAAAAAAAAAAAACAGTAGCTGATGTGTATTGAGGACTGATTATGAGCCAGGCACTGTTTGAAGGTTTTATATAGGTAAAGTGCTCATTTATTCTTCACATCAACCTTGTGAGTTGATAAAATTATTATTCCTCGTTGTACAAATGAGGACAATAAGATGAAAAAGAAGCCAGCCAATGATGGAACCAAGATTTGAACGTAGATAACTAGCTCTGACCCCCTGCTCCTAACCATTAGGCCATATTATGAACACAGTGTTACCAATTGTAAAGACTCTACTTGCTTTTTGCTTTGGACATTCTGTGTTAGGATTCCTTACTCAGTATAACTGCATACCAATAAAGTATTTAAAGAACTCAAAAGAATTTAATACATTTAACATGATGGTATGATGAAATGGTGTGTCTCCTAAGGAAATAATTCCTTAAATTTTCCCTCATTTTTTTTCCATGGCTACCCTACCATTAAATTGCTGTCAGGGAATCCTGGGACACAAGGAGATGTCTGGAAGTCACACTGCTCCACCCAGCCTTACGGGGCCACACCCTCACACTTCCCTATTCCCCAAGGGCCCAGGCAGCCATTTTGAGAACTCCCAATAAAGATGGGCAAGGTCAGGTGCCGAAGACTCATCCTTCAGCCCCCAGGGGACTTGGTGGACCTTCCCTGTAGAAAGGGACTTCTTAGTTGTTAGTTATTAAGGGAACTTTAGGCCACATGCAGCCCTGGTGGTCCCCTGGGCTCCCCCTCACCTCCCGTGAACTTGAAAGTCCAGGAGAAGCGCAGGCCCCCTCCATCCAGGTATGAGTTAGCCTGATCAGGAGAGCTGAGGCTCACACGCGAGTCCCCCAACCATCAGCAGCTCGTGAGGAGGCTCCTTGATTGTGAATGATTCTTGTGTTGATTTTCATTTAAGCTGTCTGTGCCTCATGGAATTGCCAATGAAGACATTGTCCCACAAAACCCTGGAGAACTCTCTCGGAAGGTAAAGTGGAGCTCTTTCTTTACTGATGGGTGTGGAAAATCGCCGGCCTCTGTTACTGCTATTACACATTATTAAATGCTTTAGGCTCCAAAGATTAAAATGTGGAAAAGTAATAATGTTTTATTAAATAATAATTGCTTCAGAGAGTGGTATTGTACCTTCCAGCGTGGGGACGTACTTGTGATGCTGAAGCAGGCAGAAAATAATTACCTGGAATGCCAGAAGGGAGGCCAAAAGGACAGGCAGAGTTCACGTGTCCCAGATGAAGATTATCACTCCTCTTGATGAGAGGACCATCAGATGAGCAGACCCAACGGAAGGAATTAATGTTGTACAGCCTTCATATCACACATGGCGGCACATTTCATAGAACTATTAATTATATCGCAGCYCCAAGTTTTTTATTAGGAAAGTTATCTTAACCAGAGTGAAAATTACAGTAGCATTCTGTTCCATTTTTAGAATGAATGACTTGAGGCTGGCCTCTGCCATCCTAATCACTCTGCTGCACATACTGACTGGGGTATTTTGCCACCTTCCACGGTGCAGGATCACCTGTGACCTTACTTGTGAAAGCCGGAGCACTCACTTATGAACTCCCAACTGTGGGGGCTGTGTATGTTTTTTAAATAATATAAACATGTTTGCTAAAGTGCCAGAGATCCATTTTCCAGCAGAATGGGTAATGATTTTAAAGGGGGTCCTATAAATGTTAAGTGTGACATTAAAAAAATAAACACACACACACACACACTTCCTTTAAGATGTAAGCTTAGTGCAATCGTCATTTTGTATCCCATCAACCTTGAGTCACATTTTAGGCCTAACAAATCTGTGGAGCCTGGGCTGGGGCTGTAGCTCAGTGATAGCACTTGACTAGCATGGGTGAGGTACTGGGTTCGATCCTCAGCACCACCTATAAATAAATAAATAAAACAAAGGTCCGCCGACAACTAAATATATTATATATATATATTTGGAGCCTGGGAAGATACAAAGATTGTTAAAGGTCATTTGTTTAGCAAGAAATATGCTGTCAAACAATTCATAGAGGGGTATTTTTTTTAAGTTTTAGGTGGATACAATATCTTTATTTTACATTTATGTAGTGCTAAGAATCAAACCCAATGCCTCACGCATGCTAGGCAAGCACTCTACCACTTGAGCCACATCCCCAGCCCTAGAGGGATATTTTTTAAAGAGCATCCAGTTTTCACTGTTAGTTAATGTCAAATATATGAAAAATAATTCCCACTAGTCATTCAACCCAAGTATTTTGTTTTACCTTTTATTTTCATTTTTATAATCTCATTCAATTCTTCTTAGAAGGCAGTTTATCTTTTAAGATTTGCTTAAGAAACTAAGAATTTGTATTTTGTGGAGCAGAGAAAAATACACGGTCAGCCAGTTGCAGCTGGTTGTGAAAGTTCTAAGTTCAGTTCACATAAGAAAAGTTGTGTTACTTATTCTGTCTGTATTGGTACAGCATTATCCAACTGTCTTTGCGTCCTTCCTCTTTCAGAACACAGTGATGGTAACCATGAGGTACGTGCCCCAAAGCTATCCTTAAAAAACTAAAAAAAAAGCTAAAGCTAAAAAATGAGGTGTTATTCTTTTATAATGTCCAAAGTGTTTCCACTTTAAACATCACCTTCTCATCTTGTGCTACAGGCTTGCAGAGGTGGCCTCGGGTGGCCATTTCATTATCACTGTAGGTGATGGTGTCAGTGGTAAAATCAGTGCAGTTACCAATAACGATAATGAAATGAGTCCTCCATTAGGCTTTTGGGTTCATGGTTCTGAGAAAAGCAAAACTCACCTGGGGATGTGGCTCAGGGATGGAGTGTCTGCCTGGCATTTATGAAGCCCTTGGTTCGATCCCTGGCACCACAAATAAATATACAACAGTGCTTCCTGCTTTGTGTGGGTACCTGTGAATAAATAAACAAAAAGAACAACAACAAAAGAAACCTTACTGTTTGGAAATCTGGTTTTGAGGTAAATATCTCTAAGAAGTGTTTTACTTTTCCCTAATTTGGTAAAAAGAGAATATTGGCCATTATCAGTTATAGTTGAATCCGATGGATCCTGGGAAATCTGGGAGGTCATTGCCAGGTTCATGGTTGAACTCACACCCTGTTACAGGAAGCGAGGCTTCAGTTCCCCTGCTCCCTACAACACAGGTGTTCATCTAACCATCTACATTTTGTTTTTTAATGTGTGAAATAAATATGACAACACCTCATGGAGTTGATTTTAGAGCTGACACATTATATGATTCCATATAAGGTAAAGATGATTCCATTTAAGGTAAAAGTAAATCCATGGAGATAGAAAGGTAGGTTCGTGGTTACCTTGGACTGAGGTAGGGGTTGTGCAATTCTGTGAATATACTAAAACCACACACATGCTACACGGGGTGGTCTATTGTATATGAGTTATGTCTCAAAGGTGTTTATCAAATTAAATGAGCTAATGTCTAGAGGTGTTACACACAATAAGTAGCACACAGCAAACGAACAATAAATATTAGCTTTCTTATTGTTATCCTACCATTTGTATCAGCACTGCTATAGAAAGCCCTTTGAAATACATTAGATTTACCTGCCACGTATCCACCCTGACTCGGGTCTGTGTTGAACCGACCTCTTGTGGATAACCCTCTCCTGCCTGTTCCATTTGCCCTTCACCTAACAGGCCAGGTTGAGGGCATCATTGCCAGGGATCTCCCTACACTGAAGGCAGAGAAGGGGAATCGTAATCAGGAGGCACAAGTGACCTTCCCCGCCCTCCCAGGCTTGGTTACCTTTAGATCACTGGTCCATTTGGAGGCTTAGGTTTGTGTTATGTGTGAGGTTGATCTCTGACTTTATTTTTTCCAGATGGATAGCCATCTTCCCTGATATCATTTATTGAGTAGCCATTCTTTCTCCATAGATATAAATCAGTACAAAACAAAAATCACATATGCATGGGTAATAAATTACCAGCACTGAAGAGCTTTGAGTTACAGCACTCCAAATAGCATCCCTCCATCAGGTTTGATGGTGAAGGTGATGATGTGTGGATAAGCCCTGTCTCTTAAAGAACGTGAGAATAACAACGGTTTGTCATTAAGAAGGTCCCTCTTCAACCCTACCCTCTCCTCCAGCCATTCGAAACCATTGGCTAGTTTGGTGGGGAATATGGCATTCATTCTCTTTGCTAATTTATTTAGAATTACTGTTGAATAAACGATTCAGATTAAATAGAAAATCCAGGCCAGGCATGGGAGGTAGAATTGCTTTCAAATTAGAGAAGACATTCAATTAAGTGGTAATAAATGAAATGGATTTTACCTTTTGTGAATTATACTTCTGTGGGAAGTCATTAGCTGCCTTCAATACAAAAGGCAAGAACATAAATTGCGGAACTTTCTTCTTTTCCCATCCTAATAAAGACACAACTTCTAAGGCTCTGTTCCTAAGGATTAGTYTTGATCACAGTTTAAGGGGAAAACTACCTACCCTTCAAAGGGAAAGAGGTCACAMACCACTGCTTTGGGGAAGAATAAATAATACTGCTTTTTTTTTTTTTTAAGCAATACTCTCCATTTTTTTATTTTCTTGGTTCAAAAAAAAGAAGAAAAAAAATATGGAGGGAATATTATAATTGAGAGTTATTTCTGTCCCCCCTTGGTGAGGATACATTCTTTTTCAGCTTGATAATGGTTCCCTTGTTTAGTTCACCTGTGTGGTTTTCATCTTGTACTCATAATGTAATTGTGACAAGAGGGCTCTAATGAGGAAAAAAAAATTGGCTTCAGAGTGAATAATAAATCTAGCATCTAGCTGGGTGCAGTGGCGTACGCCTGTAATCCCATCAATTTGGGAGGCTGAGGCAGGAGGATTGCAAGTTCATGGCCAGCCCTCAAAATTTAGTGAGGCCCTAGGCAACTTAGCAAAACTCTGCCTCACATTTTTTTAAAAAGGAGGGCTGGGGCTGTAGCTCAGTGGCAAAGTGCTTGCCTAGCATGTGTGAGGCACTGGGTTTGATCCTCGGCACCACATAAAAATTAACAAATAAAATAAAGGCATTCYGTCCATCTACAACTACAAAAAAAATTCTTTTTTAATTCAATAAAAAAGGACAGGAAATGTAGCTCAGAGGTAAAGTGCCCCAGGGTTCAATCCTCAGTACCAAAAAGAAAATCTAGCATCCATCCTGCACACTTCATTCACAGCCCTGTTTCTCCCCCTAGGATCCAAGTCCTGCTCAGAAACCTGTGGACAGTAGTGCTCCTCACGCTGTCGTTCTTCATGATTTTGCAGCAGGTAAGGATATAAATAATAGATTGTTAGAACAGGATCCAGGAGTGAGTCATCATCCTTGAGTTAACGAACCTCCCAAGACATCCTTCTTTGTTTTCTGCCTGTAGAATCCTTGACTAGAGATATCATCTAACCCATCACCTGAGGAAGGGCCAACTGTACCCAGCCATTCCAGAAAGCCTCGTTGTAATCTTGGTGTGGTGGTGCACACCTATAATCCCAGGGGCTTGGGAGGCTGAGGGAGGAGGATCATGAGTTCAAAGCCAGCCTCAGCATTTTAGCGAGGCGCTAAGCAAATTAGTAAGGCCCTGTCCCTAAATAAAAAATAAAAAGGGCTGAGGATGTGGCTCAGTGGTGAAGCCCCCCTGGGTTCAGTGCCTGGTATCAAAAAAAGAAAAAAAAAAAAAAAGAAAGCTTAGTTGCATACCTTGCCTTTGATACTCTCTGAGAGGGAGTTTCTCATGTAAACAAACAAAGCAAAGTGTCTGGCAGTTACAAACTTGTAGTGGATACTAATTAACAATTGTAATGTAGTTAATTATAATTTAATAAATGAAGTTCTTTAGTCCTAAGAGTTGTCTCACCRACTACTGAACTGTGAGGTCAAACTATTAAATTTTGGGCCAGATATGGTGTCATCCCAGCAACTCAGAAGGCCAAGGCAGGAAGATCACAAGTTTGAGGCCAGCCTCAACAACTTACCAAGAGCCCGTCTCGAAATTTTAGAAAAGTGGAGGTGGGACTGAGGATGTAGCTCTGTGCTTGAGCCCCCAGTGTTCAATCTCTAGTACCACACACATGCACACAAAAGTTAATTTTTTGTAATTTTTAAAATACCCTTCGTATCCAAGGCTAAAAAGAAAATAAATACTTGATTTATTTACGACATCTTTTTAATCCATTTGGTAGACTGATTTTTATGTCAGTGAGGGAAAATTAACTTAGAGCTATAGGACTCCCTTAGTTAATATTTGAGGCTAAAGTGATTTTTAAGCATGATTGAGAATAAKGATAATATTATACCATGTCTATAAAACCCTTCCATTGTTCAGTGTGCATTCAGCAAGAGGTTTTTATTGGCACAGTAGGAATCACTGGCCAGCACAATGGTTGTTTGGTTTTTTATCACCATTTCCCATCAATCATTGCATAGTAGATATGTCTAATTTGATGTTAGGAGGAGCTTATATCATGAAAATTTTCAAAGTATATATTTTCAGTAAATTTGGTTAGTGTGTTCYGTCATCAGAACGTAGGGCCTCCATGGGCAGAACTAAATGCCTCTTTGTTCTTGACTTTAATGAAATATGCRATCAGGATAATTTATCATACRTAACTGTGRTCTGCTGTTACAGAGCAAGATGACGATTTGAATCTCACATCTGGAGAAATTGTTTATCTTCTTGAAAAAATAGACACAGATTGGTACAGAGGGAAATGCAGAAGCCAGACTGGCGTGTTTCCTGCCAACTATGTCAAAGTAATCGTAAGTGGCATGTGYTCATTTTAATTGGTCCTATATTCAGTGGGTTCCGTGTGACTTGCAGATTGCTGAAAAGCAACCAGAAGCCTAGATTCTTGAGTTCTAGTTCTCCCTTCCATTGATTAATTTGTCATTTGGGAAGTTCAAAAGTCAAGAGTTGTTTCAGTAATGAGTGATCCTTATTCTTTGATGATGAATGCCATCTGAATCCAAAAATGAATGCCACAAAGRCCACTTGGTGAACCACCTATTCCTGGGTTGTTAAACACTTCAGGATATGTTAATTCTTTGAGACTTTTAGTGAACATGAATTAAATGGTACCAGACTGTCCTGAAAGAAATGTTTGCAAGGTTATGGTACCACTTCTCATTTTYTTTGGAGTACATTTTATTTTTGGCTTCTTTCTTTTCTTTTCCTATTTATCTCCATCTTTCAAAAAAATTGGGGTAATACTAATCTAGTTATTGGACCTAATGGTTCATTAATGGTTTTTCACATAATAATTTCAAATTTGATTAGGAAAAATTATATTAAAGCATCAGTATTGCATAAGCCCTCACAGCCTAACTTGGAGTGCCTACCTGTGTGTTGGAGCTTCAGGTGCTAAGACCAGATGACTGTGCAACATGAGGATAAAACAAGATTGCCCATTGAGGGCTGGGGATGCAGCTCAGGTGGTAGAGTGCTTGTCTCGCCTTCATAAGGCCATGGGTTTAATCCCCAGCACCACAAAAAAAAAAAAAAAAAAAAAAAAGACTGCCCATTGAACATTTGTATCCATAGGAAGATTATGACTCAGCCCCATGTGACTTATTGATAAATACTATGAAATATCAATAACTCTACTTAAATAATTCAGCTTCAGCCAGGTGCAGCGGCGCATGCCTGTCATCTCAGCAGTTCAGGAGGCAGAGGCAGGAGGATCACGAGTTCAAAACCAGCCTCAGCAACAGTGAGGCTCTAAACAACTCAGTGAGACCCTGTCTCCAAATACAAAAAGGGGGGTACTGGGGATGTAGCTTAGTGGTCTAGTGTCCCTGAGTTCAATCCCTGGTATCCTTCACCCCCCCAAAAAAATAGTTTCGCTTCCACAGCTTATTGGGGGGGGAGAGAGCAATTTTCCATTACATCTGAAACAAGTATAACAGAAAATGTGTATTTTTCAAGTAGAAATGAATGTGTCTCTTGGATTACAAAATGCCATTCTTAAAATTGTCCAGTGTATATATGGCCTGATTCTTTGGAGAAATTCAAGCCACATTCTCTAAATTAATATTAAGAATAATGTTGGTTTTAGCACTCTTCCTCATTTTTCTTTTGCCCAATGGAGCAGTACTTTAAAAAGCACAATTACCACACTGAAATCAATCACAGCAAGCCTGCCACATTATTGGTATAAATGTTTTTTCTAAGCCCACAAGTTTAAAAAATTGTTTTAAAACTTCGAACTTGGTAGAATTCATCAAGAAGGGCACTGATTTATTTAATATAAACCTCATAGCCTTAAGTAGTTTCAGACTGCATACATATGGCCAACAATTTTATTACAGCCCAGCTCCTTTGAGCCTTGTAGATTATATATAAAGTGCCTGCCAGTTAGTACATGCTCACTTAGGTGAATACCTTTCTTCTTTCCCTRTTCACATTGAAGGGGGAAAAAAAGATGTTCCACAGTTATGGATATGAAGAAGATCCACGAGTTTGGTCAAATTGTTTTGTTTGGAGRTTTGAAGAGTAATGCAGAATCCTGCTGTCGATGTGAACAGGTGTGGTAGTGCCCATGTGCGACAGCATTTATCCCTTAATGGCTGATTCCTTTCTTAAATCCTTCTCAGCTGAAGTTTTCATCTTGGAGAACCAGAAAACTTAGAGAAAACTCAGTCAGAAGTAGAATATGATTGTGTTTATCCCAGCAAATAAGAGAAGGGTGGATCGCCTACTCAAGGAGGGCTACTTCACGAGCTGTACATTTTTCCCAAAATCCACATGCTGGATTTTTTACTGTTTAGCACCTGTGGTATAACAAGTTTAACACCTAGTTAAACTAGTTGATTTCAGTCATGCATTTTCTAACTTCTTGGCCTGAAATTTATCCTACTAAAGTCCAGCCTGGTTATAGCATGCCTATAACCCCAGCCTCTGGAGGCTGAGGCAGGAAGATGGCAAGTTCAAGGATAGCCTGGACAACTCAGAGAGACCTGTCTCAAGATTTAAAAAAAAAAAAAAAAAAAAGACTGGGGATGTAGCACAGAGGTAGAGCACTCCTGAGTTCAATCCTCAATATAAGTGAAAATAAACAAAATATACATAGATATATATCTTATTGAAGTTTGGAAAAAAAAAAATACAATTGTTACCATGATTTTGTCTTTACTAGGTTGATATTCCAGAAGGAGAAAATGGGAAAAGAGAATCAGTTTCATCTCATTGTGTTAAGTAAGTTCTATGTTCCTTTGCATGAAATATAGAGGAAGTAAGAATTTATATCATGAAGAATTACCAAGCTTAAACACTTCCAGTGTGTAATATTCAGATTCTCATGTTTTCTTTTGTTTTCAATTATGAGGAAAGCTTTGCTTTTTAAAAAAGCCAAAGTGGGTTCAGGTTTTGCTGAAAACGCTGTGTGTTGATAGTAGCTGTCCATCCAATGCTTGCAGAGAGCTGCTGGGGGAGCCAAGCCTGCTGCCTCTAAGGTGTGGCTTTGGCCTGGGCAGAGATGGTAAGATTCAACTGCTTTGACAGGGAAAACGTTTGAATCTTACAGAAATGTGGGTCATACAAAAACCACTAGCTGGGGCTGAGGGTGTAGCCTCAGTGGTAGAGCATTTGCCTRGTGTGTACAAACCAGGCCCTGGGTTTTGTGGCTAGGACCACAAAACAACAACAACAGCAACAAATCCCTGCTAGAAATGTTGTGTTATTTTGCTTTCAAAAAGGACTAGAAGAAAGTAAAGGAAGAGTTAAGTTGAARGGATCTTTCTGTATATCTAAAGACCTTTGCTTGAATTTATAAACCCTTTTATGCATCATTGTAACTCCTTGGTGATTTAAAACCCTGCCAAAATGCAACTTTATATTCTAGTAAAATGAGCAAATTAATAGAATTCACTACCTGCCGGTGACTGTAAACCTGTCGATGAATAGGTCAGACATAAGGAGGTGCTCCCAGGGGACTTGAGAAAATAAATGCAAAGGTTATCACAAATAAGAAACTTCCRTTGCCACAGCAGTGAATTCAGTTTCAGGTTCCACACGCAGCACGGACCTTATCAACAGTTTGAATTTAAAGTAGGCTTGAACAGCCGTGGATCCACTGACCTGACTTCAACCAGAACTTGAGTGGATCCAGGACCCGCCTGTTCTCTTCAAACACCTTGCTATAGATAACTTCCTTCCTGAAGTTTCAAATCAGAGGTTTGATTTTAAATCAGACCTTCTAGAGACAACAAGTTGGCTCTCCTTTTATGTTCTTTTTGGTCAAAATTGCACACCACTTAAGGATTGTTCCAAGTCTCATAAACAAAGCCTTTTTTTAAAGGAGRTGTAACAATCATTTCATAAAGGAACAGAGTTGGTAGATTACATGTTTTGAAGTACCAAATTTCTGTTTTCTTCCAACCTTTCCAATTTGTGAGGCCATTCATCTATACATTCAACTCATCGACTGATTGGCCCATCTGATGCTACTGCTGCTGCCCTGATTCTTGCTCAGGCAGTTTGGTGTCTTTGCCCTGAGATTCTTGGGATAGGGCCCCTAAACTCAATGCAYTTGTGATTGAAAGGCTGCAGATGGGATCGTGGATTGGTGTGGCCCACAAACATATGGAGTCTAGAACGCTTCTGTAATGAAGTAAAAATGATCAAAAGACAGACATGGCAGCATGAACCAACCATTCAGCTGCTTCTCTGTTCCTCTGCATGTATTCTGTGACCTTGAGCTTTCTGAGTGAATCAGCTCACATCCAAACAGTAAGCGCTGTCCTTTAGATGTGTCACTTACTCTTTTTCATGGAAAATGTTAAAATTATCCAAAATACACCTTGTTCCATATTAAACACAGAATAAATGTCTATTGAGAGACTGAGTGAAGGTTTTGAAGCATTTTAGAAGTTAGTACTGTTTTATGGAGTGAAGTGTTGCCCCAATTCTAGAATTGAAAATAAACCTAGTTAAAATCTTTTATRTGTTTATATTAACGGCAGTCCCAGGGGTTTGGGATGCTCCTGAGTTCCATTCCCAGCCTCAGCAACTAAGCAAGGCCCTTGCAACTTAGTRAGACCCTGTCTTAAAATAGAAAACAAAAAGGGCGGGGTATGTAGCTCAGTGGCAAAGCACCTCTGGATTCAATCCCCAGCRCCCCTCCTCAAAAAAAATCAGTATTCTCTAGTTTAACCCACAGATGTGTTCTTTGTTCAGAAATACAAGATGTGTTGCTCGGTTTGAATATATTGGAGACCAGAAGGATGAGTTAAGTTTCTCAGAGGGAGAAATGATTATTCTTAAAGAGTACATGAATGAGGAATGGGCAAGAGGAGAGCTTCAAGACAGAACTGGGRTCTTCCCCCTTAACTTCGTGGAACTTGTTGAGGATTATTCCACCTCTGGTGCAAATGTTTTAAGTGAGTATAGAAAATATGGGTTTTTTAAAAATTATGTCATAKTCTAATTTAAATAAGCTAATAATATGATAATACTTAATAATACTTAAGTTGTATAATCCACATGGCCATATTTTTAAGGTAGAAGGGGAAATATTTTAAGCGGTAATTTATATGGGATAGCTATTACTGTGATCATCTCTGAGCTGATTTTGYTGTTTTAGGTTAATTAACAATGGTGTCATTTACAAAGTGGCCAGGATTTCTTAAACACATGAGCTATACAGTTTAATTAATGTATATCCTTCTTCACTTTAGAGTAATAAAACAATCCCAGAGAGGGGATTAGAGATCAAGGGACATAGCTAATAAATGAAGACACTGGTCTGGAATTTCAGACTTACGCCTCCCACCCCCAACTAAACGTTTTTCTCTAATACCAGCGGTCTTCTCATCTGACATTTTGACCTTTTGTTTTTAATGTAGGAACAAAGATACCACCAAAGACCAAAAAAGAAGATTCTGGCTCACAYTCTCAGGTAGGCTGCTGGAGTGGGGGACTGTTGGGACAGCCAGCTTGAAACCCTGGGAGGAATATTAAAATTACAATTACCAAGAGAAAACAGTATGAAATCATTTTTCAATTCATATAGCAAATGTTTGTAATAAATTAAATAGTAAGACGATTAATTCAATGTAATATTATGCATAGAGCTTATTCAAAGACATATAGATCCTGACAGAAAATGAGGAAAGAAGCCATCCACTGGTGGTATTCCCTGTCGTCCCAGGAACTCAGTGGTGGAGGCAGGAGGATTGTTTGAGCCCCAAGTTGAAGGCCGTAGTGTSTTATGCCTGTCGGGTGTCCATACTAAGCTGAGCACTGATACRGTGGCCTCATGGGACCTACCAGCTTCAAGCACTGGAGTTGCACTGTAAATAGCCAGACACTCCACCTGGGCAATGAAGCACACGTTGTCTCTTGAAGAAAACAGAAATGGCAGACACACCTGTAATCCCAGTGGCTCAGGAGCTGAGGCAGGAGGATCCCAGATTCTAAGTCAGCCTCAGTAATACTTAGTAAGGCCTTGTCTCAAAATTAAAAATAAAAAAAAAAAAAGGTTGGTGATGTGGCTTAGTAGGTAAGTGGCCCTAGATTCAATCTCTGGTACCAAAAAAACCAAAAAAAAGGAAGAAGAGGGAAAAGACACAATTGGAAAATTCATAAAAAAGTTGTAAGTGGCTGATACCTTACTAGTAATCAAGAAAATATAATAAAGCAGCAATAAAATAGTATTTTATTTAAAATTATATATATATTTTTAATTTTGGAGGGGTACCAGGAATTTTGAACTCAGGGACACTCAA